CCTCGCAGCCCCGCCGCGCTGGGTTTCACCGCGGGAGCGGTGCGGGTCTCCTGCCGCCGGCCGAGGCAGCGGCGGCTGCGTGAGGCCGTGTGAGGCTCCGGCGGCTGGGGCGAGGCCGAATACTTACTGTATAAAACGTAAGGGAAGCAAAACAAATCGCTGGACAGACCATTACAAGCACTTACGGTTTTTTGTCGGGTTTTTTTGTTTTCAAAAGAAAAAGATTCCAGCTTAAGAAGTTGCGGTACAAGAAGCAAGAAATGCTTCTTTATTTACTTCTCCCTTCGCAACAGGAAAGCACCACAGCGGCCCGATGCCTTTCGCATTGTAACACCGCTGATATAGCAGGCTTGGTGCCCCTTCTGCCCGCGAGACCCGGCCTGCAGGAACGCCGACCCGTGCGCTGTGGCACGTCTCGCCGTGGCTTCACCTGGAAGCTCTGCTGAAAATTCACACCAGTGGTTTTATTTCAACTTATGCCCTCACACTCCTGCCTGTGGACCTGATCCTTACATGTCTTCAAACAAGAAAACACTCCTTCAGCAGAGGCTCCTTCGGATGACACAGTGATCAGCCACCAGTGTCTTTCATTACCAAGTAACATGCTGGACTCGCAGGGGAGGGCCCAAATGACGAGACTCCTTGCTTCTGGGACAGGGGCGGCACAGGAGAGGAGAGAAGTGATACCCAACAGCCTGCGCTACACAGCTGTGGCGCACAGCAGAGCTCTGGGGCCGCCAAGATGGCCAGGGCTTGAGACGAACTCCCGAGCACTTTCTCTTTGGAACCATCCAAGCTGCTTTGCTGCTGTTGCAGAGGCTGCCGTGTCACGGTTTGCAAAGTCCAGGCTGCAGCCCAGGAGGATCAAGGCTGCCTTCCCCGCTCCCTCACCCCAGCACTGCTGCCCGGGGCCCCGCACCGAGGTTCGCCTGAGGGCTGCGAGTCCATACACTGCTGCGAGCTGACAGACACAGCGAGCTCTTCTTCCCCTCCTCTTTCCCCTTGGCAGGCCTCAGCATCTTCTGATCCCCACAGCAAGGTAGTTTAACACGCTTAAATGGTAAAGAATTAAGACAGTTTTTAAAAATAATCGGTTTCTGCCGCTTTATTGAGCTGCAGGTCTCATGAGAAAGTCCCACGAAAACCAAAGCTGGCCAGAAGGGAGCGGCACATGAAAGCAGCAGCTGGCAGCGCTGCCGCGCTTCCCAGGCAGATGAGCGCAGCCGACGGGTTCCCTGCCCGGCCATGCGGACACCAGCATCCGCAGGCATCGGCAGGCGGGAGGCTCGGCCTGCACAAAGCCAGGGGCAGGAGCACCCTCCAGGCAGCAGGAGGTATGGAGTAGTGCAAGCAGTCCAGGTTTGACTCACTCTTCCCTCTACCTAATGCCAGTCCGTTCTATTTACTGACCTTGCCCAGTGCTACAACCCTCGCTGCTTAAAGCTGCCCATTTACAGGTCTCCTGTAAATACAGTGGAATTCACCTGGTAGTTAAAGTTTGGATTTTATTTTTTTTTAAAAAGCTAAGTAAGGACTACTGAAAGGTCTTAAAGAAGGTTGTTGCGGCAGCAATTAAACATATGGCAAACCTCCTTAGTGCGTATGTGCACCACTTCTCTACTCACCTACTTTCCATCTGGCAAAGCTCACTGTGTACAGGACTTACGAGTTATTAATAACACCTCAGAGTCACTGAAAAAACAGAGCTCAAAGAAATCCTTCATGCTAAGACACACGGTCTCCTTAAGACACAAAACTAAGCCTTCCTTCAAAGTCTGCTTCTGCATATTACTTATGGAAATTAATTCATTACTTTTCATTTATTTAGCAAAGCAAACGCATAATCTGGAGAGAGCAAGCCAATCCTTACATTGCCATTGCTTTTATATTTGCAATTTAAAAAAAATATAGTAACAAGCAATTAAATACACGCACACTGGCATGTATTTTCCTTAAGAGGATAAGCTCGTTTTAAGCTAGAGGTAGCTAGTCCATTTTTTCTATTAAACACAGACCTTAAGGTAACAGCAGTTAAAAGCAGCAGCCTAGACTCTAACCTCTCCCACAAGACAGGGCCTCAAAGACACAAGTAACAACAGATTTTTTTTTTCAAACCAGTTATGCCGTATTTCAAAAAGTGTGTAGTTGCTCAATCTTTAGACTATTTTACCCAGCTACTTTGTTTTGGCTTATCCATGTCCACAGCCGGTTCCTGTTCTTAGATGGCGTAACGGGTACCTTGGGGTACATAATCACATTGGTTTTGTTGTATTCATCTTCAAAACAATTTGCATGGAAACCATTTTTCACTTGATTCCACACCATCCCTTACTTACTTAAAAAATATTTCAAGGGAACTGCCTCTGAATGTCATGTTGCTGCATGACATTCAAAATCGTATGTCTTGCTCTCCTGCAGTGCACTGAAATATTTTTGCAGTGTTCACTTTAAAATGTAAAAGAATAGAGCAACAACCCAATTTAGACTTCTCCAACATTATACATTCCCTTTTTTTTAATATATTTCCACATGTTTTAATTTAAGATCACTTCAGATGTAAGGAATTAAAGACTGGATGTCATTTTAGCCTTTACCATTGAAAAACATTCATAAGGGAGTTTCTAAAACACGGAAGAAGTCTAATGTATGCAAAGCTGACATAGTACCAATGTATTTTTAATTACTGAGTGCGGAGTATGCTGTATAGTAAGATTTCTGAAACAGTTAAATACAGAGATCGTATGCTCTTTTTATTGGCATACAGTCACTACCCATATAAGTGCATTTGTGTCAAAAAAATAATTTTCATATTTACAGGAAGTGACAGAATTCCAGTTGTTGGCAGAGTATATAAAGCTTTTCATACACAATCTTTTTTATTATTAGACAGAGAATATAAAATCTGAACTGAAAATCAAATTCAATGCATCATGGAAACTGTATTCCTCAATAGCTTTTCTTAAACTTAATTCTAGTTTCCTTCTCTCTCTCTCAAGACATCCTTCTAAGACATCTGAACTGTTATGCTACCTACTTTTCTTACCAAGAGCCAGTAGTGTACTGAGATTGGATCAATACATCGTTATTTATATCCACACCAATGGAAGTAAAAGTAGTGTGTTGCAAATTATGCCTTATTTTGCTAATAGGTATGACTGACTGCTTAGTCTATGTAAAAGGACTTAATTGGGGGGGTATGTTATTTATAACTGATTAACTAATTATTTATCTGTAACAGTGTTTTGATAAACATGCATGTGTTCACCAGCCATTAGCTTGCTTAATAAACGTATAGTTAAAATGTCATTCTTTGCACTGAAGCAGTTTACTTCTGCATCTAATTTATGAAAAAAATTACACTGGCAAAAGTGCTGCATAGCTGAATTCTAATTTTAGTTAAATGGATTAATCGGTTCATGAAGACATGCTTTGCAAGTTGCCTGTACTAGTATATTTTTTTTTCTTAGAAGATACAGCCATCAAAGAGATCTTACTTTGATGTTAAACCTTTTATCTTTTTCACAACTGGTATCATACCAAACCTTCTAGGCACAGATCTCCAATCTTTTCCTGAATTAATGTTCTTCTGTAACAGTCACTGGCCTAGGGTTGTGTATTGTTGTTTGGTTTTTTTAACTAGTATTATTTCACACTCTTTTTACTAATAGCAATAGTTCAGTTCCTTAAGGAGGAGGTAATCAGTGACCTCTATCACTTCATGGTGATATTAAAAACAAAAATTTAGTTACATTGCTGCCTGATCAATGTATTAGCTTTACAGGAATCACAATTCTGATAACACTAACAAAAATAACCAGCTTTAATGTTTACTACAGATTTAATGCATGTGCCAAAATGTAAAGTTAACCTATTGTCAGTTTTCTAATGTGTACTGAGTGCCATTTATAAATATATTCCATAAAAACAGCTAAAATAGTGAGTCTTGTTCCTGTAATATCCCTGAACATCCAGAAAGTTCTCTCTGAAAACTGGGTGAGGAATATAGTTCCAGAGCTCAACACTGTCACACAAGATCAATTAGTCGCACATATTCCTAATGGGGTTCAGTCTGTTTAAGTATAGCCTGTATTACAGTGACCCATATTTTACACACACAGCATATATTACTTGCTAGTCCAAATAAAAAGGTTATTAAAAATCTATTACACATATCTAAAGAAAAAATAATGTGTCTTTTCTTTGTTCTTCCATACCCCCCCAATAGATTAATCTCATCATGTCCATGGATTACATATTTTGACAAGTGTTTTACGTTAAAATCTTTTTCAAGTACTTTAAAAATTTTTATACCAAAAAAGCTGCCTTTTTCTTTCTTTTTTTTAAAAGTACTTTCTACAATTTAACACAAAATGCAGGTGCAAGAATTTTAAACAAAAAATGAACTAAAGAGCTTTATTGACATCACAGTACATTCAATAGTAATTTTAAGAACATTACAGCTGAAAGAGAATGGCCTGGTTTATATTCTTAATAAGCACTACCGTTCTTGAAAAAATGTAATACAAAGAAATCCTATTAGGTATTTAATTCTGAGCAGCATTTGGAAAAAATACACCTATTTACAGATAAAAAAAGGATTCTGGTTTCACCTACATAGCCACAATGTGCCTCTATAATGAGACAAGCCTTTTATAACTCATGGAATTTTTAAACGTCATAGCACTGGTGCCATAAATTCCTCAGCGTTTACGACGAAGAGGAGTCGTTGATCTGAAAAATAAAGGAAAAGGGGGAAAAAGTTAATTGGAAAAAACAAAAGACCCCCAAACCCACACACACTTTAGGCTTAGTAATTACTAGTTTTAAAAGATTCTCCACAGTTACTTTTGCCTAAGACAAAAAATTTAATAAATACCATACTTTATTAAAAAAAATTTCATATGCCGTACACATGAAGACGAATATCAAAAAATTAAAAAAAAAAAATCAGACAAGATACTTAAAAAGTATACTACCTTGATCGTGACTTAGACTTGTGTTTGCGGCTTGCCTTCTTACCAGACCTTTGAGATTTCTCCATGGAGCATGACCGAATATGCTTCGATTTCTTAGCCTTCTTTTCTTTACTGCTTCCTGGTGATTCAGAACTACTCCTTGCACTAGATTCAGAGCCTGACCGTTTTTTGCTATCTTTGGTAGAAATTTTTTTGCTTTCTTGTCTGGAATCCTGTCTTATTATTTTCACACATATTGAATCACTGCGAGAGAAAGTTCTTTCACTGTCTCTTTTTCTCTTTAATCTACTGTCATCATGATTGCCAGCCTTACTTTCTTTTTCCTCTTTTTTGGGCTTATCTTTTCTTTTTTCCTGATCTCTCTCCCTTTCTCTGTTCTTTTTTCTGTCTTTATCTACACCTCCGCCCTGCTCCTTCTTCCTTTCTTGATCTTTACCCTCACTTTTATGTTTGTGCCTATTTCCAGTAGGGCTTCTACGCTGGTCTTCAGTTTTACGTCTATCCCTGCTTCTGCTGCGGCTTGCACGGTTAGCTCGCCTGTCTCTTGAACGGCTACTACTTCTACGTCTATCCCAGCTTCTCTCTCTTGAAGGACTCCGATTTCTTCGCCTCTCCCCTCTTTCAGCACTGCGATTCCTACTAGATCTTCTCCTTTCCCTTATTTTCTCCCTGCTCCTACTCCTCTCTCTCCTATTTCTGTGGGAGTAACTCCTGCTTCTACTGCGCCTAACTTTATGTGAAGGCGTCCTGCTGCGACTGTGTCTTTTCTTCCTTTTAGGAGAGGAAGAACGCGAAGAGCTGCGACTACTACCTGAGCTAGTGCTATAGGATGAACTAGATACAGTGCTGCTACTGCTACTGCTTCTGCTATTGCTGCTAGTGCTACCACTGCTAGAGCTTCTTGACCCACTCCTTCCTGTCCTCTCTTTACCCTCTTTTTTGAGTTCTGTATCAGGTGCGATTGCATTTGGAGATCTTTTCTTTTCATGAGCCATATCTGCTTCAATTTCTTTTGCTTCCTGTGATGCTGAGTTACTGTTCTGTTCTTTGCTGATAAATTCATTCATCTCTTTTGAAACTTTTTCATTTTGTAGCTTTTCTTCTGGAAAAAAAGTATACAAAAGAAAAATGCAATTAATTTGGAGTAACATGTCAACAATTTCCATACTGTTACCTTTGGCAAAACCAAATTTCCAAGCACTTTTCATAATACTTACAATTAATACACTATCTGCCATCATACCAACCACCTACCAAACAACTTGTTATTTTCTTTTATAATTCTGGAAAAGTTGTCCTCCTGGTTTAGAAAAAGTGTACAACCCAGACACTTTTAGAAGTCCTTGATGTTATTTCATGTTTCAGTGTGTATTGGGTCTGCGTGTCAAGGTTTTGGTAGCGGGGGGGCTACAGGGGTGGTTTCTGTGAGAAGCTGCTAGAAGCTTCCCCCATGTCCGACAGAGCCAATGCCAGCCGGCTCCAAGGCCGAGCCCATCAGCAACGGTGGTAGTGCCTCTGGGAGAACAGATTTAAGAAGGGGAAAAAGTTGCTGTGGCACAGAAATTGCAGCTGGAGAGAAGAGTGAGAACATGTGAGAGAACCAGCCCTGCAGCCCCCCAGGTCAGTGCAGAAGGAGGGGAGGAGGTGCTCCAGGCGCCGGAGCAGAGATTCCCCTGCAGCCTGTGGTGAAGACCATGGTGAGGCAGGCTGTCCCCCTGCAGCCCAGGGAGGTCCACGGTGGAAAAGATGCCCACCTGTAGCCCCTGGAGGACCCTACACCGGAGCAGGTGGATACCCCCAAAGATGGCCACGACTCCATGGGAAAGCCCACGCTGGAGCAGGCTCCTGGCAGGACCTGTGGCCCTGTGGAGAGAGGAGCCCACGCTGGAGCAGGTTTTCTGGCAGGACTTGTGGCCCCGTGGGGGACCCACGCTGGAGCAGTCTGGGCCTGAAGGACTGCAGTCCATGGAAGGGACCCATGCTGGAGCAGATCGTGAAGAACTGCAGCCCATGGGAAGGACCCATGTTGGAGAAGTTCGTGGAGGACTGTCTCCCGTGGGAGGAACCCCATGCTGGAGCAGGGGAAGAGTGTGATGAGTCCTGCTCCTGAAGAGGATGAAGCGGCAGAGACAACGTGTGATGAACTGATCGTAACCTCCATTCCCTGTCTGCCTGCACCGCTGGTGGGTGGTAGGTAGAGAATTCGGAAGTGAAGCTGTGCCCGGGAAGAAGGGAGGGGTGGAGGGAAGGTGTTTTAAGATTTGGTTTTATTTCTCATTACCCTACTCTGGTTTGATTGGCAATAAATTAAGTCCAGCTTATGAACTTAGATCACGACTTCTTACCATTGTATTCATCTGTTGATCTAGACTGCTCTTCAGCAGTGCAAGGTGACTACTGTGATACCCTTTGACCTACACTATTGGTACAAAAGGACAAACCTTACCTTGTATGGAGAAGCAGAAATAAATCCTGATTTTTTTTCTTTTTTTTTTCCTTTTTTTTTTTTTTTTTTTTTTTTTTTTAATATCAAACCTGCCACCTTCTCAGAGGCTAAGTGTGAACTGACTGGGTTCAATAATCTTTCCCTGGTCTTAGGTATAAAAACCCAGTTATGAAGATGCAGTATATGGAAACAAACCTCAACTACAACTGAAAACAGCAAGTCCAAAGAAACTGCAGCCTCCCACTGTACATTCTGAAAGGTGCACTGCTCAAAATTATGTAACAGAAAAGCAAGTTTTTCAGATGACGTGAAACATCCTTCATATACTTAGAGTATACAACTTTAAGGAATCAAGTTTATATAAACTGCTTTCTGGTGCAGACAGGTGAAATTTATCCCCTAGTCACAACTGAGATACTAATAATTTTTCAAAAATACATTATACACCCACATGCATTTTTATAAAGTGATACTATTATTTATATAGTACAATATCTATAGCATACAGATATATATGCACCATGTCTGCTCTTTTAACACTGAATTAGAATGGTTTATGGAAAACACTCCATGGATTTTTTTCTTATTAGAAAGAAAACAAGCAAACCCCATTTTGATTCAGTAGCTCAAATGTCTTTTTTATTAAAACTTTTTAATTAAAGAACATTATTTCTAAATTTGGCTTCAACATTTTTTTGGTCTAAAATGCGTTTTCTCTCCTACCAATTCACATATACTAAGCAGTAAACTCCATATAGAGCAGCATAGTAAGAATACATTATATGATTTACCTTCTAGCTGTTTTTCTAGTAGTAGTTGCTGTTCTCTCTCTTTTCTCCAAAATGCCTCCTGTTTTTGCCTGATTCTGTGTCGTAATTCCTCATCATCAGTATCAGATGATTCAGAGCCTCTGTCACTCCTCTCATCTTCACTGTCTCCTGATCCATAACCACCCAGTCCACCTGCGTGCATAAAGTCCAGTCTATCACGAGGAAAGATTAAGCTTTGTTCTTAATATTTCTGTGGGGCAAAGAGGAGCGTAACATTGCCCTTCCTTCACTTCCTCTTCTCTGAAGAAGTCACTTTATGTTGTTTGACTGGTGTGATCAAGGCCCCCATATCTGCATTGATGCTCACTGTCTGGTTCTACTCCTTCTGGAACAGCTTGTCTATTTTCAGCAAGCAACCACTGTGATCACGGTACTTTTTCCATTGTATGGAAGGGAAAAAAAGCTGCCTGCAGAGATTGTAACAGTGCCTGCCTCTGTATCAGCAACTGGACAGAAAATGCCTGGGACCTTTCCCAGAAAACATCTCTGAAATGACTTCAGCTGCCTCCGTAGTCCAAGGCTACAGAAATTCTGAATGCCATATCAATTTTTCTATATTGCTCTAGTAAACACTGCACTTTTGACAGGTACAGAGATGGAACAGAAATGGACTTCCTTCTCCCCTAGAGATATTAATAACTACTGGACTGATAAGAAAGATGAAGTAAATTTAAACATCTGACATGGAGATATTTTACTTTCTTTCAGTCTGAGGTTCTTGCGAACTTTATTGAGTTAGTTTTAAAACATGTGAATACTTGTGATGGTAACATTTAATCTAATTCATTGGAATTCCACGTAACTAACACATAACTCATCACTGACACTGCTGTAGTATGGTTTAGGTGATAAAAAGCATGTTAGGAAAGATCTTTTCCTCTTGTGTCTCAAGCTGGAATTTCAATCTCTTTTTCCTGTGTTGTTTCTGGTAATATGGGAGCCTCTGTGCTTATGTAGCTTTTCAATAAAATAATAATTCCAGAGATCATAGTATTTTTGTTTATAGACTTTCACTTTACTCTTCTATCAAGTTTCCCTTCTTGTTTGGATGGATCAAAATAGGAGAAAAATATAAAACAGTATTCCTCTCTCTGAAGACTGCAGTGTGCTTCTGAAACAATCATACTTCGAAAAGTAAATTTATCTATATTTTTTATGTATCTTCAAAATTAGGGCAAGATTCTCATACACTAACTCACACTGACTAGTCCTTTACTCCAAAAACCATCCCACTTATATCAGTAGGATCACCTGTGGAACAAAGGTGCTGATAATGATAAAGTTATCGGAAAGTGACCCATACTCCTGGGCAATTAAAATCTAATTTCAAAATGCAATTTCTAGAAACGCAAGGCAAGAGTGAAACTCCCCCTTTAAGCCCTCTCAAAAATAAGGAACATACTTACCGAGTCCAGTGAGGGAAGCCAGTGCACTGGACTGTGCCAGCTGTTTTGCAGGAGCTTTGTATCACATCAACAACAGGAACAACATGTTAACACAAATAGCCACGATTTCATAGTCATGAGTCTATGGTATTGTTAAATCTACTACTATTGCTGTTCTTTGGAGGGAGAGAAGAAACATTAAAAACGCATCATCCATTTAAAACCACTTCTAGATTTTCTGACCCCGAAGATTTAGAATTTAAATTCAAATTAATAGTGAACAGAAAAAAACAAATATATAATCATAAATCACTTTCCAAGTTACAGCATCTGCACATAATTTCAAGTTTCAGTAGTTACATATTTAGATTAACTCAGTTATGTTAAAATCTGTTATGTAAGTACAATAAATGTTAATACTGAAAGCAAATGAATTACTAATTGAGGACTCAAAGTTTGTCTCTTTTCACTTCTGAACAGCTAAGAACTTGAGATAAAGATGATAGCATTAAGAAACAGCTACAACTCAAGAGCCATTGACACACAGGTACCATTTTAACTAAAATGAATTGTATGAAAGAAATGGAATAACTGAAGTAACTCACAATACACTGCACAGGACAACAGTACATGATTACTGGATTTGAACTCTACCAAGTTGGATGCATTATACTGGAATTGTTTTTGGGGGATAACTATGGAGGTTAAATGTTCTAGAGACATGCAAATATAGAATATTCACAGAAGAAACTTAAAAAAACCAACAAAAAAAAACCAAAAAGAAAAACCCCCAGCATACCTTTAGTTGCTTTACGGTGAACATCTTTGGCCACGTAGTAAATTTCTTCATTTGTGACATCTAAGAGAATCTCTGTCAGCAGCATTTTTGTCAGCATCATCTGAAGAAAATTATATCTACAATTAAAGGCCAAAACCTCTTGAACACATGCTGCATTCAAATTACATCCATGGAGCTTCACTTCTTTTGATGGCTATGAAAGTACTCTCCTGCACATTTTAATGACTTCTTTGAACAAACATGACTTAAAAACATAAATCTGGAACTGTTTAAATTTGACCCGATTTCAAAACTTTCAGAACAGTTTGTATTTTGACTGTGAACTGCACCCATGTGTATTACACACAGCTATCCAGGGCACGGATTCCTAATGTCAAAGATGATACACCAAATGAATATGTAAATGAGGAATGTACTTAGACTGATCCCATTTATTCTTTAAAACAAAAAAAAAGCACACTTGTGTCTGGTATGCAGTCTCACTGACCCCAGTCCTGCAAAAATCATCAGAGGTTACTTATATAGAATTTTATTATTACGTATTTACTACAAAAAATGGAAATGCTGGCAGCTAGTTCTCCAAGCTGCTCAGTCTGGCTATGTGCTTTACAAAAATATATTCATTAATCTTTTTAGAATTCAGGGCCTTCATTAACAAGGTTTCAGTTGCACAGTTAACATACAACTGTGATTTCAAAGTACAAAGTTTCTGCAGACACAGTGAAATTGTTGCTGGTCTAGGACTTAGGTTTCTAGCACTTTCTTGCAAGAATACATTTCTTAAATTCCCCTTCATGGGAAGTGAGGCTGAAGTGTAGATTTGAGATGGGTACATTTAATCATTGAAAGTTTTCAGAAATTTGACAGGTTAAGCAAAACCATAGAATTAATAATGATCAACGTAAAGATCAGAGTCATTACATTCTTTCACTATTGTGCTAAATATGAGTTATATAACCTATATCCTTGCCTATATGAGAAAGACAGCATTATAAAGAGACATGCAAATATAACTCTGCTTTACTGTACGATGTGTACTATACCTCTATTGACAGTATCAGGCAGAGAAAAAGTGTTTTACTTTGCTACGCCTGAAAAATATCAGCAAATAGACAGAAATACTTAGTGAGAACTACATTATTAATACCATTTGATACTCCTTTTCTTCTTCTGTCATTTCTGGTTCACTTTGCTCCTCTTGAGGAGCCGGGGATGGACTCCTGCTGATTTTCCCAACACTTACAGCTTCTGTGTTTTCAGCATCTTCATCTTCCTCATCACTGTCCTACAGGAATAGCACCATACAGTTCAGGAAAAACTTAAGATGTCAAGCTCATTAGCTTCTACTTATGATAGTCACCTTGATTTACTTTGTACTGAAATCTGTGTTACAATTATCATAAAATTCTATTTCTTTTCTCCCCTCCTAATAAACAAGCAGATAAGAAAATACATAGTTGTCAGTTCACTGCCAGACAGGTACTTGGAACTGCAAACAAATGGGATAACTGCGAAAGTGAAGGCAACGCAAGGGTTCCTAAATGGGCTCAGTTTAGCAAATACAAGTATCTGAATTTGTTCAGCTACTGATTAAGAATTCAAATCTTCAAAGACCATGTATGTTCCCCAAAATACAGAAAAAAAAAAAAAGCCCAATTTCATCATTGTTTCTTTGCTACTACAGATCAAATAATACACTTTTACCTCTCAGACATTAACATAACATTAACAACTTCAAAACACCAAGTAAATATCAACTTTACTTAAAGCAAGAGAAACATAAAGAGATAACCAGGAATACACAGTCTCTCTTTTGAAGAGACCAAAATGTTGATACCTTTCAGGAAATACAAACCTGAGCAAAAAGCAAACCCTTCTACTTACAAATTTACTTTTCTGAGGTAAGCGTGGGCCATCCCCTTCTTCAGCCTCCTCACTTTCCTTTTTTTCTTTTTTAGACATCTGTGAACGTTGCTGTTCCATCCTCTCTTTTTCCAATTTTTTCTGTTTTTCTCGTTCCATCTTTTCCAGGCCCTCACGAATCCAGGCAGGCAGAGTTCTACGCTTCACAGCATCTACATAAGCAAGGTTTATAATTTCATAAGATGAAAAAAACCTTTCCCCCAAACCAAAATGCAAAACCAAAGCAGCAAACCCTCCACCCAAATACAACAAAGCCATACATCTGATTGCGGGGGGAAAAAAAAAATTTGTAATAGCTTTTTCTTTCCCTCTTTTTTACTTTATGTAAAAAAAAAGCTTTCACATTTTGCAATTCTTTTTAAAACACAGCTTTTATGTTTTTTCATTAAGGAGTGGTTAACATGTACCAATCTGTGGAGGCTCCTGCTTCACAGGCATCGCAATAGGTGAACGCTGTCGGTCTCTGAATGAGGGTCTTTCCCTTCGATTTTGAGGAGGTGCAGGAGGTGCTGGTGGACCTGGCGGCCCTGGTGGTCCTGGCTGCCAATAAGGTGGATGAAATCCACCTTGAGGTGGACCAAAAGCAGCCCCATGCTGAAAGAGTAATGCAGTTTATTTTTCTTCACATGGTAACACTAAATACAGCATGTGCGCAAGTTGGTCTACAGAAATCCATGCAAGTAGGAATCCATGATTTCTAGGCTACCGAGATCTCTCAATCTCTTTTTCTGTGGTCCCCAAGAAAGAAGTTTTCCTTAAATATTTAATGAGTAAACTTAGATTTAAGCAAGGATGCTAACAAATCTGAAAGGGCTTCAACCAATCTCCTTTCATATTGTGCTAAATATTAAGCCCTATAATCACCATCTATCTCCAGCAGTTCCTTGCCAACCTATCAACAGAGCATGCAGTTAAGTGAAGAGTATACAAAATTAAGGTTTAAAAGTCTAGCTACGTTAGCAGTCTTTCCTTGTAACTACAACATGAGGACAAAAATGAAAAGTTCAAGCTTTTATTACAAAACAATTTTGCACTGTGCACTTTCTAGTAATCACTGATGGATGTTATTAGTATGGCTGATTAAAATATTAAATGCATAAATATGCAAGTTTAGTACAGACCCTGGGTTCTGAGCAAGCTGTACACAGTCCAAAAGTCACAAGTCTTGAGGCATACATGAGGGGGTTTTTGTTTTAATATTTGCTGCCCAGAAATGCCTAATGAAACTATTTAAGAGGAGAGTGTTTAGGAAGAAAGTTACAGCATCAAATTTTTTTTTTATTACATTCTATTGACTATTTAAGTCACTAGTGCTAGAAGCACTCTTCCACTATGATTTCAGGTCAAGCATCCCTCTGTTATTCACTGCAAAACAAGTCTTCTGTAGTATTTAGGGAAATTAATTTTAAGAGTTGGTCCCACAATAGTAAACAAAGGAAATTATAATAAATTAGTGTATTTGAAAATTATTGGTTCACTTCCTAACAATATTGCTGAACAAAAGAATTTAATAATAGAGAAAAGTAGGCCAGAAGACAGATATACATTTCTGCCCATCTTCCTTTGGGTTTGTTTATGAACAGGAGGTAGGTGTTTTAACAGGTACAGTTTGTCGTTTATATCAAGGGTTTTGAAAGAATACTGAAAACAGGGGGAAGATCCAAAACTTCTTTGTGTTTAAAGACTTGTGCAATGCCCCCTGCTATTATTAGTGCTAAAACCACCTACAGATTTATTATGCTATGCAACTTACATGCCAGAATGAAGAAAAAAGTGGATGTGGATTTTTTTAGAAATACCATTGTTTATTCAAAGAATCACAGTAGATAGATATGGAAAAGATCAATGGATCATCCAGTCTATCTCCCTGCAAATACAGGACTGATCCCTATGGTACATTATCTAGTGTATTTAAGTATATATTTCTGAACTTTATTTTTTTTTTTCCTCCTCCTTTTTTTTTTCTTTTTAAACACAAAACTACATAATGTTAATTTATATACTGGAACACAGTGATTCATTTTAATATTGAAGACAACAGCCATTTCTCATTACTAGTATAGAAAAAAAACCCTTTCGCCTCAGAACAGAACTGAAAACTCTAAAGTCTCTTCTGTAAAGTATTTGGTAAAAATGTAACTTAGCAGATAACAAATTCTGTAGATGTTTGTAGAACTGAAGAATGAAAGTCGCCGCTAGATGATATTAGAGGAACACATCCACGGAAGGGACTCTGCGCGTCTACAATATTAAAGCAACAAATATGTTTCACCTGATAGTCAAACTGGTTCACTGGCCCCATTGCAAAGTTATCGGGAGGTCCCCCAAAGTTGTGATTGTTCTGGTTAAATATATGCCTGTTGTCAGGAGCAAATTCCCCACTGTCCTGACTGTTGCTGTCTTCAGATGGAGGAACAATTTCCATTTGACCTGGGGTTGGAGCCATCCACTGCTGATCTGGAGGTGGGTGAGGGGGTTGGTGAGGCATTCCCCATTCTGTTTAGGATTTAGAATACAATTCAATACAAGTTAGTACAATTAATGAGAGTCACCAATCACTCAATGTTCTTGCATTTATCACAAGGTTCCTCAAAGCAACATGGATGATAAAGTTATAAAGACTCATCAATCTATAGACTGTATTATACTGTCTCAATAATTTCTTCAACTAAATGAAGGAAATACAAATAGCTGTAGCTGAACTAATACATGGGGGAGGGCAGAACTGGACAGACACAGAGACGCTGTAAATTTGTTTTTATAAATTTCCAGTGATATTGAGGCCACCATAGCACTTACAAATTGCGTAAACTGTTAAAGAGCCACTCCTATTTCTCTATTTCTATGTTGTTTCAAAGTAATGAGCTATTTTATTCCTTTGCATAATAGACTTAAAAGATCTATTATGGAAAGCAAATGGGTTTGTGAGCAGCAGAACCACTGAAATCTGCTTTCCAAAGTCTTGTGTCTTTATAATGGATGATTCCCTGGATTCTCCAATATCTAGCAGAGGTCCCAGCATAAGCTAGTCATAAGGCCTCAAACATAAGTTACAACCAGCTAACAGAATGAAAAGGGTTTGAGGGATGAATTAATAGCTCATGTGGCCAAAAACTTTGTTGTCTTAGGAAATCAGCCTAAAAATTATGTCCACTATACAGATATTTATAGATTGTGACAGAGCTACCCTTCTTTCACCAGTAACAGAATTAATACCTAGCCTCTCACGTTAACTCCTACCTTGCACACAGTCCTTTAATAATTCTTTCCATTGTTCTCATTTTTACTGTCCTTCCCACCTGTGTCATAATTGGATCCATTACTGTAGCAACTAAAACGGGTTAACATAGTTTTTCTACTTCATTGGTCTTTTTTTTGGTCTGTTCAAAGACTGTATCATTCCTTTCACTCTCACTGTCATCCTGGTAGGTCACGTTTAGCTGATTAATCAAATCTTTTTCCAGAGTTAATACTCCTGAAGTATTCTAATGGACAGAATCCTTTTTCTTTAAGTACAGCTTACAAGAGTTACTGTTCATAAATGTATGTGTTAACATTTGACACTATTTAAACGCCCAGTTTACTTCAACTCAACTGACTTGAAAGCTTGCAAGTCATGTACAACAGATGCTGTTTTCACTTGTGGAACATGAATCCCTTCAAAATGAATTGTCTGCTAGTTACACAGTTGGTTTTCAGATTGCCGTTTTGCTTTTCTATTAGTAGTATGTAAAGGACTTTTGGATCCAAAAAGAAACTTGGAGAAAGATGAAGCTTTGTAGAAACAGAGTAAATACGTGAAGAGAACTTTGGCTAGCCATGCATGCTATGATTTAGTTTGTCTGCTGTGATTACTTTTACACATTAAGAATGACATCACGTAAATTAAGGGAAGCTGGGTCATATCTGCATCAGCACGGTCTTCATCAGTGTCCCAAAAAAGTCAGAAAAAAACCATATTCTTTGAATAATATACCCAATGATAAAAAAAATGCATTGGCACATTGTTTCCCATTAACAAAAGGTGTTACATTATTCCCACTCCTAGGTCTAAGATGTTTTCCTGTTCTGCATTTTCCAGGTGAGCTTGGGCGCCTAACATTTATAATTATCAGTGAAATGTCTTCCTCACTTTTACCATTCTGTGACTATTTGCAAAAACTACCACATAAGATATTGTTCTCTTTCACCTCACAGATGAAAAAGCATAGGAGGAAGAACTCACCACCACAGGATCATATGAAAAAGAAAGTCATCCAATAATGACACAATATTTCTGTAAAAACCTCTACTTATTATACAGAAATACAGCTAGAATACAGTCTATGTACTGCCACACAGTAAAGTTAAAATTCTTACATGTGGTTACAACAACTTATAGCCCAGGACAGGTAGGTGAAACTTAAGTGAAAGGGCTACCTCCCTTTGTTATGCACATGTAAGAACCACCAGTAACATTTTAAGCCTACTTTTATTAAACATTGCACTTAAACAAATTTGAATAGTCACAGGGAAAACTGGAGGTGTTATTCTTTCAATCATTAACAGAATCAAGCATGAAGTGCAGTTTTCACCAAGACAACAGAAAGCATGCACACAGGCTTACTAACTACCTTGCTCACACATTTCAAATTGCATTATGGTGTGGTGATGTTAACAAACCTTTCAGAAAACAACTTCAGAAAAATTCTTAGCGGAAAATACCCAATCTCTACCCCATGCTTATGGCCAGTGTTATTTTATGAAGTTTGAAAAAGAAAATGACTTTTTGGCCAAAACAGAAGTTCTGAGGAAGAAATAAAGAACTGAAAATAACTGATACTAACAGAAGCATTCAAACAACTTTAACTTACATTAACTGAAAAATAATGCAGGTGACAATCAGATACATAAGTCAAAAAGGGCAAATACTAAGTACATGAAACATGTAATAAGAACATACTTTACATACAGCATTTTGCTCATCTGCTTTTTCAAGATCTTAAGACACCTAAAGCCAGCATCTGCCAGTTATATTGTGAACTCATACATGTCAACATCGTGCCAGCAGCAGGTATTACACTAAAGGAGAGGGCAACAGATGCTCTCTAATTCTGAGGCACCCTGTTGCCTTCGGTGCTGCTGTTCCTAGTGCAGTGGGATAAGCAACAAAACACGTAAGATATAAGATCCAGGGAAATAAATATATAACTGCAATTCACACTTTATCTTTCTACAACATTCAGGGACAGAACAAATCTTTTGCATATGTGTATTATGAAATCAATTTATTTATTTTATATGGAGATTACTCGGTTGTGTTATCAGACCTTTGTGTCCTTTACCGTTACCCATTTTGTGGAACACCTGACTGGAAAGTAGTAGCTGTGATACTCAGTTAATTAGTTGATGCTACTGGTAGTTTTGCACCTTGAAACCTGAGGGACAAGGCATATTCACACCCAGAAATGTCTGACAGAAATAAAATTTCATTACATGAAAAAAAGGAATGAATGGGGAGGAAAACAAACCTGGCTGCCACATTCTGTTGAAGTTGGGATCCCCCTGAAAATTATTATGGTTGTTTGGACCAGACTCTATTCCTGAAATATCCTGTCCGTTTGGCATCATTCCTTGTTGTTCCACTACACTCTGTTGCCCTGAGGCTTCTCGCTGAGCAATCCATGCTTGAGCTAATGCAGCCCAGTCAATCTGGCCTAAAATAAACAAAGGAAATTTAAAAGGTTAGTATTCACATGTCTGAAGTTTAACACTCTTTCTCAGTTACATGTCTCATTGCTCAAGACAAACAGGCAACATTTACCTTCAGCAAGTACCATGGGCACCATTAAAACTTATTCACAGTGTACAGTAAAACAAACTGAAAGCAAATGTTAGTTTACATAATTGCTGAAGTAGAGTTTCTCTGCATATGTTTGAAATGCCATAAAGCAGATTATTGAGGTTCACTTCAGCACTGAATGGGTGGTAGTAATACACTTTTTTCATAAGTGAACTAATTTTGGTATCAGAAAGAAATATATATAGCTTTAAATTCTAAATTCATGAAGATTCAAGTGTAAGAAAGATACATAGTTAGAAAACTACATTTTGCAATGTATAATCTTTGTATAACCTGCAATTTCTAGAATGCTATTTTATGTCACCGTTCTCTCCCCCCTTTTTTTCTTTACTATCCTTCCTACCACTGAGTAAGTAAACTGCACTCTCAGATGTGGGCACTAGTATGTCTTCTGCTCATTATTAAGTCACGAAATCTCTCTAGCAAAGTTACAGAAATTGAAGTGGCAGAAAGCAATGTAAAACCAGTGTGCCTGATCACTCTGCCCAAGTATTAAATACACACCTCCACTCTCTTTATCCATTTCTGTATTTCTCTTGATACTTTAAATTGTTGTCACCTCACTCTCAATTTAAGGCATGTTATGTTCTATTGTTTAAAATGTTGGGGTTTTTAGTGGGGGAAAAAAATCCAAACAAAAGATCATGATCATCACTGCTGTAACCTAAAACAAATATACTAATCTTCCAGTGAGAGTTTTTCTGTGTATACATCTGCATTAGTACTTCTGCCACGCAGGCACTGAATAAAAAGCAGATTTTCTCAAATAAATGGTTCAGCTTGGCTAAAGAACTGACAGGGATACAGATTCTGTACAAGTACATGAGGTCTAAATGTTGATCTGTATGACCGGTAAAATGTTGGTAATTTGTCCAGGATAACTCAGGTTGATTGCCCGTATTTTGCATATTAATATTAACTATGTCAAAACATTTGGAATCCATGTATGTTTCTATTTTTTCTAGTTGTTCAGAAAAGCATCATAAATATATTATCTTGACAGCAGCTACAAAAAAGCAACTATCAGTCATGCTCTGTAACAAAGATTCAAAAATTCAAATTACAACAGATTTAAAAAAAAAAAATTAATCCACAAAGCTTTCTATATACTTACTTGGATCTTGCTGGTGCTGAAATGACTGCATCCACTGCTGTTGGTTCAAAGGCCATTGCTGCCAAGGTTGTCCACCTTGATCCCACATCTTTTAAGTCTTTATATAGTCTATATTTCAACTAAAAATAATAGTTGTATGTTTAAATAGATGCCCATGAAATATCACATAACTGAAACTTACATAACTGCAGATATAGTTAAGCCTTGCAAAGCAAGCTGAAGCAATGCTGGCTTAATATTTTAAGCTGGAGGAAACGGTTCATCCTTTAGAGTAATATCTGAAAATATTACTGTAAGATTTCAGAAGCCTAGTATGCTTTCTCTGTATTTTCGCAAAGAAATTAACTACAAAATGACGTTCAAGGAGAGATATGACAAGTTTGTAAGACAAGAACTCATCTGACAACAAATGCAATTTAAAGTAAGTCAAAATATAAAAAACATTACTTAAATTATATCCTTGCCTGTTTCTTAGGGAAAGATGTGTATTTTTCTATACGAGTGTCATGCAAGGCTGTTAAGCGAGACAAAGGAACGTCACCAAATGGTAAAACACATTGTTAACGATTGCACTGGAGAACTGCACAGGTACAAGACTGTGTCCACATGCATTTTATGCATTGTACAGGCTCATTATAATTTCTAAATAATATAGTCTTTCAAATCTGAGAAAGAAAAAAGAAATACCACTGCATAATGGCATATTTACCACATGGTCCCTTAAAATCACAAGAAACATTTTTTGGTGCCATGTTGTGTATCCTCACTCAGCAGGCAGCAGCAGCCCTAGGACCTGATGACATGGGAGCTCCACAACCTGCTTTAAGTAAAGCTCCAGGACCAGCTTTGCAGGAATTTGATGAGGCACAGCAGTCTACCAGGTAGGTATGCCTATAATGGCATACCAGTTCCTTCCGGTCATTTGTATCTCCTGCGTACACCTAACCTGCTACATGTGGAAGACCAGAGAGCGGCCACCGACGCTGCTCCAAACAGCTTTCCTGAAGACAAAGCCTGGGCACAGTTTTGGGAACACTTCACTCCAGGAACTGTTCCCAAACACCAGTACAGGTAAGACTGCACCGAGTGTGACTCCCTCTGTACTATCCAGTCTGTTAACAACTTCTCAACAGGCTTTCCACTCTCAATGAATATATCCTCATGCCATTCAACACACAATCCTTGATTTCATGCTATAAAAACATCACCCACGTAGGCTGTTTCAAACACTCCAGACTTAAAAGAAACAGAGAAAAATTCATTCCCTGAGGTCACAGGAGCAGCACACAAGACCTAGTTGTGGCTCACAACCAAGTCCGATACAGAATAGATGAATACAGCCTGTCCGCTTCAGAGGAAACAAGCTCAAAGCAGCCAGGGCCACTCGGGTGCCCAGCCAGGAACATAACCCCAACGGTTCTTACCGAGCAGGACGCACGCAGTCCACAGACAGAGCCTGCTTTCGTCAGACAGAAGAAGAGCAATTAGAGTGGATCCTGCTTGCAAAGGGATCTCGTGCTTGGTACTTACACATTCATAGAAATAATTGCATGACTGCACAGGAAGAGAAGCTGTACATAACATCATGGGGTGTTGGGTGATGCAGAGATGAATGTAAGCTCATATTTTGCATACCTCTGTCAAATTTTATTTTTAATCTGAAAAACTGTAGATCACCTTTGTTTTGAGACCACTTACATTCAAACCAGTACAAAAATTATACATGTATGGTTCGGATAAGTTCAGTTGCAAATGCCTTTTTTGAGGGGCTTTAAACAAGACCAACTTTTGGAACAGGGGGGAGTATTGGGCAAAACCTACTTTACTATTTTCACTATCTTTTCTTGACAAAATAAGTATGGATTTTTTTCCATTTCAGTGCTATCTTTATGATATTCAAACCTTTAGTAGGTAAAGACAGTATCCTTTTCTTGTCTTTTTTTTTTCTTTTTACATGTTGATCTGTACCTAGGAAATTAACTCTCTTGCACCAGTTGAGTGTAAGAGTGGCTAATAATGCACTTAATGCAACATTTAAGCTGGCCCTGCCATACCTGGCTGAGTATTCATATATACGTATTTCATACACTAAGTATGAAGTAACCTCACATACTATTTTCACCCTAAAGTAAGAAAAAGGCAACTGTTTCTTCCTCCCCTCAGTTCATCTTTCCATCCAGAATCGAAATTCTTTCAATGGTCAAAATAAACTTGTTTACATCTTAAAATAAAAGTTCTAACAATTGTAGTTCAAGATAACCACCAGCCTTGAAAGCACTGTACAGCCTCACGGTGCTGCTCCCTTTGTTTCCAGCTGTTAAATCACACTAGCAATAATAAAAATGTATTTCAGTAATTCTGGTAGCACTTTTTTACCTTAATACATAATACCTTGGAAAAAGTTTGTGAAATTTCACTAAAATAAACTCAGCAAAAGATTCAGAAGATTAAATTGTTTCAGCAATAATGTAAGAAGCAGGTTTGCATATAACTGAATGCCAAAAAATCAAATTTTCAAACAGTTAAAGAAATACCAGCTTCTCTTATGGAAGTGTAACAATATTAAGAGCACCTCTACAAATTCAACTGAACTGGAACCTCCTACACACAGTTTTTACTTGATGGGATCAGATGAGATTTATTTTTACCAGACTGGCTACATCTCTGTCCTAAAATCTTGGACATTACGGATTTTTTTTTCACATGTTCCAACTAACACAATTAGCTTGTAATAAACTTTTGTACCTGTTAAAATGCCTATCAGTTATCTGTTTCTCCTGGACGTTTAGTATTCCAGCCTTTTTTTCTTTATTCTCAGGCCTTGAACCTCACTACGGACAAACTGAAGCACTAGTCTGGAGCATAAGAAGGTCTAAGGTAACAAATGCCTCTCCTCTCTATAACCTGCCCCAAAATAGCAACAACCTTACTATTTTACAAGGTGTTCAAAGAAATTAATTCAACTTTTTTTATTGGGGAGATAAATTATTCTGCAGCTATATCAACTGGCATCTGAAAACACAGGAGACAGGCAGTGACTCTGGGCAGCAGCAGCAGCATTCGCTCCCCTCCTGGCTTCCCTCTCAGCAAGTTATCAAGCACTAGGACGCCACGGCCAAGTCCACACTCCTAAGGGAAGCGGTGCCGAAGGACTCCACCATCTCCCCACAAGAAAGCAGCACTGACCCAGGCCACCTAGCACTCCTCCCAGCTGCTCCAAGCATGTTTCAGGTGTCAGCACAGACCTGGGGCCCAGCGGGCAGTTAGGACATGTCTGTTCTGGTTTGCAAGGTCAGAGACTTTCATTCAGTGCCAGCTGGCTTCAGGGCTGGAGTAAAAAAACCCAGTCGGGTTTTAGTTGTTAGCATACATAGCTCCTTCTCCATCACTCTGCAACATAATAAGGCCTGGAGTCTTCAACTTTCCCCAGAGATTATTTCACCTTATTATTGCTATTTTGGGGAGAGAAATCAGGTGGGGAACTGCAAAGCAAAAGGTCAAGACATGGAGCTGATTTCTATTTTGATGTACAACAGTACGACAAGACAGCAACAACTGCGTAAAACCTTGAGGAACTTCAACATTTGGTTAATTCAATTTATGCCATCCAGAGCAGACTGATTTAAAATCACTGCCATTTGAAACTGCTAATTTTGGTTTGTGAACTGTATTTGAAAGCTTTTAATTCTGTATTGCATTTGTACTTTCACTGTTTTCCTGAAGAAATGTTGATTTTCATAGGCTGGCAACTATAAAACATGCTAACTTTCAAGTACACAGATTTATTACCAAATTCAATGTAAAAACTTCACTAATCAGAAGTATGTACTACACAAATACTTAAGCAATTACATCACTTTCTTTATGCAACTGTATATGCAAAAGCCCTTTTTCAAATATCATGTGAAAATTGGCCAAAACTATTTCTAATTTTCTATTTATTTCAACTCATCTTCATTGTTGTGCTATTTGTTTGACAGAAACAGGAATAGGATATGGAAGGAACAAAATTAGCATCTTAAAATATTTACAAAACTAACTTTAAGATATACTCACTAAAAGAGAAGACCACATGTATTCAAATTCTTTTAGTATTGAAAACTAAATGATGTATTTCAATATGCACTATTCAGAGGTAGTGAACATACAAGGTTTGTTCTAAGGCCTCCATATGGCAACCTGAAACACCAGGACATCATCACTTTCTGAGAAACAGACTTCCCTGCTTTTCTGCTCCCCACTTGGTTTTCTGCACTTTTTCCAAGTTTTCACTAAATGGTATAGGGTAAACATGAAAAAGGCACTTGATGTAAAATTTTCTCACTTACGACAGGGAGGCTACAGGCATTTAAAGGTGGTTTATTGTCCTCACAAATTGTTGTGCTAAGCGCTGCAGTTTTTAATGGTGTCATCTGCTTTTAAGTTTCAGAAGCAAACTGGCTTTAGCTCTTTGTTTTAAGTTAGCATATTCTAAAAGATAACTACATAAATCTTATATACAGACACATCTACTAAATTACATGCATATAGGCTATTTGATGTTACCCTTTTTTACATAAAAGTAATGTAACTTAGTATATTGCTTGTGAAACCCTACTAAGAAGAGTATGTAAGAACTTTTCAATAGAATCTTGATATTGTCCCATCAGACATCACTGACATTTTCCTTTGCTAGTGATGCTATTTTAAAGATGTCAAAAATAAAAACAGACCGAGGCAAGTCTTAATGTTAATGAACAAAACAGATGTGAGAATTAAAACAACACTTTTGAACCTCAGTGCCATAAACTGGAAAGCACAAAACACAGCAAAGAAAGTGTAGCTTGTTCTCAGTAATTTTAAATTTACTGCAAGGGATACACCCCCAATACTGGGGCGGGGCGGGGCGGGGGACGACACCAAACCCAAAACCAACGCCCCCACCAAATCAGTAGCTTAAAGGCTTGAAACAGCTGAAACATCTTGTACTGATGTATGTGACAAGAAGCAAATGTTATTTTTCTGAGACACATCAAGTAGTAATAATGGGAAAAAGTGAATCAAAGCCCTTTCCCACGTAATTAAAATCTGCATTGCCAAAACTAACTTAGGATGCTGCCACATGAATTATAATGAGTTTTAATTTCTTACAAAGTTCCCAAATCAGCATCACCTGAAAGAAAGAGGCTTCATCTAACACAATGGACAGCTCTAAGCCTACTTCCCACTAGTGACACAGGGCCAAATACACAGCAGAGCATCCAAATCGCAGTGAAACAAGCTTTATTTTCCACTGAAAGGGGGGGGGGGGGGGGGAATAATTTCTAAAATCTACTAAATTCAAACATTAGCAAGACACTTACTTACTAACAGAGGGTCAATCAACTGAGAAGTCATTAAGACACTCTGGTTCTGATGTCACCAGTGCATCCAGCAGGTTTTGAAAACCAAACAGGTTCAAAGAATGGACCCATTTTACAGGTACCTACTTGCAAAGGAAAATGCAGATACTACCCTCCCTTAGGATGATGGGTTAAGGTTCTTTTACTTAGCTGTTCTACCCTCCAATTCAATTAGATATAGCCTTTCTACTTTCTCTCTAGCAAACACAAATAAACAAAAGAACATTTATTGGTGCTTCAAGAGCCGTTCCCTGATGTCAGATCACAGAACAGGAACCTGAATCTATTAAAAATCTGTTTACCAATGAAGAAACAGAAGCCAATTCAGGATTCTTTTTGTTTTACCCAGAAACACAATCACATGGGAAAAACACCCCGTCAATTCACATTTAATTTCAGTTATATGTACTTAACAGATTACGAAAAGTTAATGTAGTATCTCAAAATTTTCCAAGAGTTTTTAAGAGCAGACATGTTCTGAAATATGTTCTGTTGTATGTTAAAAAATAAAAAAAAAGATTCCTATTCAAAGGCTGGACCTACTGGAACTTTATTCAAAGGCAGGATCTGCTGAAGTTTTATTACAGCAAATTACTGGTACTAAAACGTGCCACCTTTGAGAGGATTGCTGGTGAAAGCTCCCCTGTTGGCGATAAAAGCTGACATAGTGGCATAGATAGGACTTACCTTGATCCCCAGCAGATAGCAATATCTGAGAGCCAACAGCACCCAGAAAAATTTAAAGTTGGTGTCAAACTCTCTACTATACTTTAGTATTTCACCCAACAAAAAGCTAGGTTAAGACAGAGAAAGAGCAGATATTTTAAAAGGCACCTTTCCACTCCTCTCCTCGATTGTGATGTGCACCTCAGCTACAGATTACACTTCAGTGTTTACCTGTTCTTTTAGGAAAAAAGGCATCTTCTCAACCTGCCTATTTGTCTGCAAAATAAGATATTGTCCGATACGGTTTTATGATGTGTCCAAATACACCACACACACCGAGAAGTATACAATTAGAAGCTACTTACCAGTAACCAGAGTTTTGAGTGATAATTCTAGCTCACCATTAATTCTGGGAGACTCCCCCCAGCACTCCCCACAAAACACAGTTACCTCAAAGCAAATTATAGACATTCACACTGATGGGAATGACACCCTGTCAAACAGAGCATGGTTTCCTGA